AATTAGGTGTATCAAAGACGTAATGGTGATTTTCAACCTCGACAGTTCATTTATTGGACTGTGAGTTAATTTATCCAGCATTGTTTTGATTTTAATTTTTTTGGGTCAAATATGTACTTATAAGACAACTTATTGTTCGTTGTTTGGTAACATGAAAACAGGCTGATGGATACAATAATAAAGGCTGCTACAATCTTGATTGTTATGGCTTTGTTGTAACTGATCCAGGATTTGCCATAGGTGCAGCCTTTCAAGACATTTCCACTTTGGATGGTCAACAATATCACATTCCCACTACTATATGGAAGGTCTATACGATCCAAACTATTTCTCATCATATAATTTTAACGAATACTCTTTTATAGTATTTTAAAAAATGAGAACGAATATGTTATCTTATTGTAGGACCCCCACTCTGGGCATTGGTGGTTAAGATATTTTAACCATCTAGTTGTCGGATATTGGTCTTCCACACTTTTCACTCATCTACAAAACGGTCCAACCGAAATTTATTGGGGAGGTGAAATAACAAATTATAAAGATGATTCACAACATACGAAGACACAAATGGGAAGTGGACACTTTGCGCAAGAAGGTTTGCGAAAAGCTAGTTATTTCAGGAATGTTGAGATAATTGATGAAAATAACTTTCACCAAGACCTTGCGGAAAAGAATACTTATACAACGCAAGAAAGTTGTTATAATATTGGCGGTGGGTTTAGTCAAGTTTGGGGTGTTTTCTTTTATTATGGTGGTCCTGGTCGAAATCATAATTGTTAGTGATCCTTTATGTATTATTTGGGAACTGATTTGTGAGAAGATACTAATGTATCATCTCTACAATCACTCTCACAAAAAAAAAATGACATGGCAACTTATTAATTATAAAATAACAACTTATTAAACTTAGTCATAATTTTTTATAAAATTATAATTTAATGCCATTTATAATTATCCCATTCTTAATTATAATACTCAATTATCTATTTGTTTCAATTAATTATGTTGCTTCAATTATTTATTTCTATTTCAAGAAAATCGATCGATTATATTAGTCAAACTGACTACCATTTATGAAATCAATATTAATTCCAATACTTCAACACTAAAAAAAAATTATGAAACGATTATTATCAACATTAAAAAAAGTTTTAAATTTAGTGAAGAACTAGATTGCAATCAGTTCTAAAAATTTGGAACCAAATTATTATTATTATCATAACTTCAATTCTATCAAATTATAAACCGAACTTTTCATTTAGAATTGATAAATTTTCATCTAAAATAAAGATCGTGTATATAATGAGGTAGTAATCGAGATCCACATATATATAAAATAATAATGGAATCCAAAATTGTAGTAAAATCAATTCAATAACTTCAACATGGTTAGTAGTATATACTAATTAGTTGAGATACAAAATATTATTAAAACATTTTTATCTCTACAATCATTCTCACAGAGAAAAAAATCACAGGGCAATAATTTTCTATAAAATTATAGTTTATTGCCATTTAAAATTATCCCA